ATGACGGGGATCTCACACGCGTCTCATTTTCTCTCAAGTCTTTATGTTCATTTAAGACTAACTAATTTATGAGGATACTTATGAGTATATCTGGTCTATTTCAGTTGTCTTTGTTCTATTGTTTGTTTTCCTATATGATTGTAATTAGTTTTTTTTTTCTTTATCATTGTTTACTTTTTTGACTTTTTTATTTTTTGTTTGAAAAGTAGCCTATTACGTTTTTTTTGTGATTATTGAAAATGGTGAGGTATTTATAAAATAAATCTAAAATTTTTTGACATCACAACAACCTTATTTGAAGCAAAAATAACTAGATTTAGATCATACATTATTTCATTTTTCTTTGTATTTATCATAACATTAAACATACTCCTATTTTCATATAAGAGTTTGGTTAATTTGCCTACCCCATACAATAGCTAATAAAAGTTATTATGTCTGAAAACACTTTTCTCAGCAACAAGAGTTTGCTCAGCCCTATTTAAAAATATGCATATGCTTCTATTTAGTGGTTATACTAAGTGTTACATTTTATGTTATTTATTTCTTCCAGGTAGCGCCAATCTGCCTATTTTAACTTAAATATGCTGTTTTACTTAAATACGTTTTATATATATATATATATATATATGAAGAGTTCAGATGCAAAAGCCTCTAAATGCCATTTGAAATTTTCTTCTTTAATGATGATTTTTATCAAACTTGTATATTTAAGTTCAGTAATTTCACTTAAATAACAATTAATAAGTAATTATCATCGCCATTTAAGTGAAATTACTGAACTTAAATATACAAGTTTGATAAAAATCATCATTAAAGAAGAAAATTTCAAATGGCATTTAGAGGCTTTTGCATCTGAACTCTTCATATATATATATAATGTATGTATGTGTGTGTATGTGTATATGAAGAGTTCAGATGCAAAAGCCTCTAAATGCCATTTGAAATTTTCTTCTAAAATGACAATTTTTATCAAGCTTGTATATTTAAGTTCAGTAATTTCACTTAAATGACAATTAATAGGTAATCTTCATTGCCATTTAAGTGAAATCACTGAACTTAAATGTACAAGTTTGATAAAAATGATCATTTTAGAAGAAAATTTCAAATGGCACTTAGAGGCTTTTGCATCTGAACTCTTCATATATATATATATATATATATATATATATATATATATATATATATATATATATATATACATGTATGTATGTATGTATGTATATATATTAGGGGTGTGCAAAGCAGCCGCTATTTGTATTTGTTCAGGGAGGAAAAGTATTTGTATTTGTATTCGAGTAAAATTCAAAATAGGCATAAAAATCTTTAAAAATACTTTATAGTGTATGGATTCTTTAATTATATCCATTATAATAATTATGGATATGCAATATTGGTTGATTTTTTTTTTCTATAAATCCAGCAATGAACATGTAACAAGAAAAGTCATTGAAAAGAAAATAACAGTCAGCCATTACCTCATGAACCATGGTTAAACCAACAACTAATAAAATACAATTGTGAACATTATGAACCCCAACACCACGGTGGAGGACGCTGTGCAGACAGAATAAGTTATATGGATAATTTATAGTGAGGAGGTTGATTATGAGCCCGACGCGAAGCCTGAAGGGTTTTCGCTATAACTACGCCTCGCTCTACATTACCCCGCTTATTACATGGCTACCTACCAAATAAATCAATAATTTGACTCAAAATATGGATATAAAAAGGAGTTTATTGATTTAAAAAAACGATTGTATCGCTCCCGCTAAAAAAAGAAAAATAGTCCGTTCTGTCTCTACGTTTAGAATCCATGGCGCTCTGTTTTTCATAGCAACGGTGTGTTATACTTATAAGCAGCGGCCTGTTATAATAACAGACCGCATTCTACATTGGAATTCAATCAAGCCATGAAACAAATAATTACCGTTACCGAGCTAACAGAGCTACGTAAACAGAGCGAACATGAGAGCACCCCGTCTGCAGACGTCAATAATGGAATATACTCCCGATCAAACTCCACTTCCCGAAAGTTATAAACTGCCACCGGAACATAGTTAAGGTACAAACATCTATTAAACAAAAATAGTGATGCAGTTAAGTGTTTTTTTTGCTCAGCCGAGCCCTCTCTGTTGCTGTGTGGAGCAGCCTGTGTCAGTCACCTCTTCCTGAACGTCACTCACTCAACTCGCGCACTGCGGTCTCGTGAGGAATGCAGCTTTTTGATATAAAGTATTTCTTGTTCCCGAATACAAATATTTTTTGTCTGTGTATTATTTTATATAGAAGTAAATGGTTTGTTTAAAGCCTTGAATTTCCCCCAAATTACAAAACATGTATAGAAAAAAATTATTAGACTATAACAATTGGTACTTCATTTTACATTTATTCTGCCTCAATAACCACACGTATAATCCCATTTTAATTTAAATCAAACAATGATTTTACAAGATATGAGACTTCCTGTTTCCCATTTTTGCCTTACTTTAATCCCTCGCCATGGCAGCATCGTTCGCAATTTAGCATCTTCAGTGTCTTTTGTTTCATGTTGACCGAGTTTGGTGGCGATCCGCTGCGAACCGTAAGTCCGAGCCTCCCCACATAGGACTTGCTGTTTGCAGGGGGGCCTGCTACACTACTGTATTTGAGATGTCAAAAATCGTTTCACTGGTCTACGTTTTCCATGTCAACATTATTCTGATGAAGTTTGAAGCAAATTGGGTAAAAGAAAGAGAGCGGTTTCAAAGAATTGCGAAAATGACAAACTTCCTGCTGCCAGTTGGTGGCACTATGACTTTGACTCACAATAGTCACATCCATGTGATTGGCCACCTTCAATAAACATACAGATAAGGTTTAATTAAAATCAGTCAATGTATGCAGAAGTTATAACAGACTTCCTGTTCCCCTGAATAATTGGAGTGAGTAGAATGTAAAGGTTAGGCATAGAGGGGTGCTGAGAAAGAGGACATTCTCTTGGCAGTACGATGCTTGGCCAGGATTATCGAGCATCACTTTTAGGGTTATGGTTTGGTTTGCTGGTCTGGAGTAAATTTATATTGAAAATTTCATACTCCTCGGTAGAATATGGGGAGGTTGGTTATTTTTTGGAGTTTTGAGTCCATAGAGAGAGATCTAGGTAGGATAAAATATGAGTATGGTTGTAGGAATTCATTTGTAAATATCTAATTAGTTAAAGAGATGATGGAACTAAAGGAGTTATTCTGTTATAGATTTCAAAAATGGATAGAGGTAAGCCTTAAATGGCTGATACATATGTATATAAAGATGGTCCATCATCTGAAAAATTTGAGGGAGACTGAAGAAGATCCTGGTCCAAGAACCTTGCAGCAGGTTGCAAGATGGCTGGGAGTGGCGGTTGTTCCTGCAGCCCCAACACCAACAGGCTGGCAACTGTATAGTGGCTCGAGGAGATTGCTGTGCGAGAGCATGGAGATTTTGAAGTGGATAAGAGTGTTGCAGGTTTTCAGCAGATGGGCCAGAATAAACTAGGAATATGCAGAGAGGGACCTTGCGGGTGACCATGGAAGAGATTAGACAGCTGTGGGTTGGTGAAGGGTCGAGCCAGATGGGACCAGGACAAGAGGAACAAGGTGACACATCACAGCAAGAGAACATCACACAGGAGATACAAGAGCAAGGAGAACAAGTTGTGTGAACAATCGGAGGAGGTTGAGCAAGAATGAGATTCAAGACTAAGTACCTGGAATAAGGGGAGGAGAATGAGAGATCTGGGTCATGATGGATGAGGTGGCTGGAATTATGATGGCAGTGAAAATGAGGAAAAGGTGGAGGAGGAAGTTCAAGGGAGGAAGAATAAAAGGTTGGGCAAAGGATGGAGGACCCCAGAGAAAGGGCAGGTTTGACAAGAGGCAAGGGCAACAAAGGGAAACTATTGGACAAAGCCTTTTTGAGAGACAAGTGCATGACAGGGACAAGTTCAGAAATTGGAATCTTCAGCCAACCCAACCCAACCCCCTTTACCTAGGAGATGGGAGAGGCGATGAGGCAGCACTGGGCAAACCATTTAAACTACTAAGGGATATTGGTGACCCTCTCCAAAACAAGAGCTGAATAAAGATGAAATGTCACTGTTGCTACATCATGTTTGAAGGGGAGGAAGAGGGGAAAGGTGGAGTGAAGCCGCCATTTATAACCAGCTCGTGGGGTGGGAGCCGAGGAACAGTCAGGTGCCAAAATTGGTGTGGAAGACACTAGAGGATGAGAGGGTGGTCAAAGGAATGATAGAAGCAGGAGATTGGGGAGGTACGCAGGGGATTGGGAGGTCTTGAAAGGGTTAAGGGTTGTAATTTAGCCAACGGATAAGGGTAGTGTGGTAGTAGTAGTGATGGACAGGGAACAGAACATTAGGGAAGCTATGCGGCAGTTGCAGGATAGGGAGTTTTATAGGCTGTTGGACAAGCCGATATTCTTGAAATCCATTGACATAATTGAAGAATCAAGAATCAAGGCAACTGCATCAATAAGGTTATCTGACTGAGAAACAGACACAGTATGTGAAGGGACCATTAGTTGAGAGATTTCATTTCCTTGAGAAAATTTGCCATTTACTATATATCTAAATTGAATCGAATCAAATTTGTGTCAATACCCAGCCTTAATATTTTTCAAGATGTGGTAGTTCTCCAGAAGTAGTTTTACATAACAAATTCTAAGAAATGATATGAGTGATGTACAATTTCCCATTGTGATCTCAGGACAGTTGCATCATCCTGACACATTTTTTGTACAAATATCAACACAAAATTTAATTTAGTGTTTAAAAACATGTTTAAGTTGGTGTGTATCACCAAGTTGTATGTTTGAATTGCATTCATGTTTTTTTTTTAAATAAATACATTTAAAGATAAAAAAACACCATTGACCCAGTTCGTTTGAAACTTGTTATATTCTTTACAAAAAATTCAATTCTTTACTTTGCTGCAGTTTTACTTGTTTCTGTCATCTTCCTCTAGATAAGCCTGAGAACTACGACGTCTGGTATGAGAGCAAGTTTGAGGAGTGCGACAAGGAGGCCTGTCTTTCCTTCTCTAAAGACATGTTGTGCTCACGGGTCACAGTGGACCACAACTATTATGCCATCTGTCAAAATTTGCTTTCACGATATGCTACATGGCGGGGCAGCTCCGGCGGACTTCTTCATGACCCCCCACCACACATAGCCAAAGACAGCCAGCTTGAAGCTCTTTTGGATGAGTGCGCCAACCCCAAAAAGCGGTATGGCCGCTTCCAAGCAGCTAAAGAACTGCGTGAGTACTTAACCCAGCTCAGTGGTACCGCTAGGTAATGACCGCCCATACCTGTCAATGCTCAACGTTCACTCATCAATGTCCGATGATGTCTTTAGGATTTGGGGATCCCCATTAGACTTATGACAGAGAGACGTGAGGTCTGGCGAAGCTTCTGTCCTCTGTAACTCTATCTCAGACCAATCGTCCATCACTACAATCTGTTATGTGTACATTTTGTTTCTCTAAATCTTTAAATTATTGAAAATACTTCATTGCAAGGGTTCATTGCTTTTTATTCAATGGTTTATTTTGCAATAAAGGCAGCGGTTACATCCTCATTGTCAACATCCTCCGGTGTCTCGCTGGAGGTTTACTTGCAAAATGGTGAAACTGGGAAAGGCAGCTTGGGAATGCTAGCACACGAGCATTAACTTTGTCCAAAACCTTTTAGTGAACGTTCGCCTAATTGATTCACTTACATTCCAGGAAGAATGAGTTGGCATAAAGCATAATTTTGAGATGGCAGAGAGGATGTGGAAATCTATACATAATTAGAGCAGATTGGAGGGGAAATGAGTTGGAATTGCTTTGCATATACCAAAGAGTCTGGTTCTATGTAACTCTAACCTCTGAAGTAAAAGGGCAGAGTCTTTCGGCAAAAAATTTGCATTGTTAAACCATCAGAATTACCCCAGAGCAGATTCATGAATGTGGTTAGACTTGTTTCAAAGATTTGTGTTTGTATTAATCGAGCAAAGTCCAGAGAGGGCCACGATGAATCCAAATTACGTGGCACTATTAAATCAGAGAGGTCCAGGTCTCTAATCGGCCTTTAACTATAAATAATGTACTGGCACGTGGCGTGATGCAGCACTATCAAACTGAACATGCATCTGCACAGGCTAAAATGAACTTTCTATCTTTAAAATCCATCTTAACATTTCAATTTCACAGCTCTGCAATTGAATTAATCAAAATTTAATCAAATGTCTCTACCACTTAAGATCATTTACTTTTGAGCCATCAGCCTGCTGTTTTTTTCCTCCTTCCCTAGTTTGATTTTGCACTTGGTGGACCAATGAATTAGATCAGTATGCTAATGAGTATGCGTTAGATAATGAAGTACGCTAGCGCTTGACTGACAGCATCACTCCATTGAGCCTGGATTTTGAAAGCTAGCTAATCACTTTCAACTTGATGTTTTTGCTAGAGCAAATGAATGAAATTAATTAAGATTTTAATCTTTTTATTTCCGTGTTTGGGTTCTGGCCAGTCAGGCCCTGAAGAGTCAAAGCAATAAGTGTCGATCAGCCATTATCACTGAAGATCCCTCTGCTCTTGTCAAATCTAAACCAGTGACCGGATGGCCTCTCTTTGGGTGTTGGCACGTGAGAGTTGTTTTTGCGTGCGTAAGTAACTGTCTGCTTTTGTACTGTACTTCTTTTTCAGTTGAGTATTATATCAGCCATGTCTGATTTTACTGTGCCTTTCATTCAGAAGTTGTATTTACAACTTTTTAGTCTGTTTAAATATCAAATAAACAAATATATATATATATGTATGTGTGTGTTTGTCTCTCTCTCTTTCTCTATAATATGTATATATGTCTATGTGTGTGTATATATATATATATATATATATATATATATATTACTTCCAATGTCTGTTTTATTTTTGATGTCAATTCTTTGAATCTCATTGATTTAAATTAGAATGTTTACAGAAGAGTTTAAAGGCCCATTCACATCTAACACGCTAACTATAAAGATAACGTTATAGGCTAACTATACGATAACTATAGGCTATGCGTCTACACCAACAACGGTCTTTTTATTTTAAGCCCGCGCTGCAGTTTCAAATTCAAAGCAGCGAAAATGGAGGGCTGCTGCTGCTGCTTTACGTTACAAACAAATATCAAAGGAAAAATAGGCGCTTTCAGGTACACAATATCCTTAAATGATGAGAGGATTTGGGAGTACATCTAAACAGTGAATCTAGCAAGTCTAGTGTAATATGTAACAGTTAATTTAACTGATGAAGTCAATGATGGGTTAAAAGTATTGCCTAGTCAACATCTTTGTGTATGTACAACGCCTTTTTCACTGCAACTTCAGCAATGTTGTCAACTAGCGCTGTACCTGAGGTCATTTTGTTACACTATAGGCTACTAATTAAACTCACCGTTTATTCCACGTTATTCCCAGAAAACGACCGAATGCTTTCTATATATCCATCTTTTTTAACGTTGAAAAGGGGGTTTGACTTGTCAAACAGTGGAGGATTTTTTTTTTTTTTTGTACCTCGACGATTAACTTACTACAGCTGTGGGCCTTAGTAAAATGGAGAACGATTTTTAGAATTATATATTTAAAGTTATTTTTATAGTTATCATGCTTGGTGTGAACAGGCCTTAAAGGTGGAATACCTAAGATTTTTGCATTAAAATATACCAAAATCACAAGGCCAATGTTATATATTTAGTTAAGATGATAACTTACAATATTCCAAATGTTTCAAATGTTTAAATCGCGAGAAAATGTAGATTTTAACCAAGGAAATGGGGCGTGTGAGCAGGGGTGAGCTGGGAGTCGCGAGTCAATCGCGTCATATCCGCTTACCTCGGTTTCCGCTCGTACTACGTGTAGTCCTGGACAAATGCGGTAGTTGTAGTTGTGTGTTAGCGTCTATCAAGCAACAAACGTAAGCTTGTTTCGCGCATTTGTTATGGAATGGGGGTCGCACACCGGACGAGAAGCGCCGCGCCACGTTTAGGGCAACTCCACAGTAACGTTATCGAACACCGGACGCGCACTTTCTCATCAGTGTATGGCCAGCAATATTGTTATGTTTAATGACAGGAAATGAAGATAATGTCTGTTCTATGTTATGATTGTACTGTACAATTAAATACAATCGTTGCTGAGTCTGCATTCTGAAAACTTTACCTCAGATCATCCGTTAACAGAATGAATTGAGAATCTGACCTGAAAAATCTAATAACACCAGCAATTGTCATTCAAGTAGCTGATTTCTGTAAATGAATGCAAAACTAAATGCATATTGAAGCATAGGGCGAAGTCAGGATCCATTAGCAACGATTTGAGACAAAAATACTTAAAATTTTATAAAAAACGATGTAAATGGCGCTCTGTGGCGCAGCAGGATTTTGAACACGGTCCTGAGGCGTTGCTGGGCGCCGCGGACAGACGCTGAATGGCGCCGCCGGTATGTGTACACTTATAGATAATAATGTGTTCGAATTTTAAATATGTGGCGCGACGCGGCGCTGAGCTTCTCGTCCGGTGTGCGACCCCCTTAACGGTAATTTTGTGAAACTGTAGCTGTGGTTGAATATGTGTCAAATGTACATGATTTTTTATTTTTATAAAGTTACCAAAAGGGAGGACCAGCCACGTCAACTCCTTGCAAGTGACCTGCCCCTTCAAACCCTCTCCACCATAGCTTCGTCCAGTGACTCGTACAGTAACATCTGTGATAACTAATTTACTTTTAAACCTGACTTCTCTTGCGGTTATTTCAGTTTAAGGAAAACAAGCATGTAAACGCAACATGTATAGAAATCGAACTTTACCTCATCCATGACAACTAATTTTCGATTCCTGTCTGACTGATTTATCCACGGCGGAGTTGAAAACAACAGTTGCCATCATTCCGCGTTTCTCCACGTCGTCATCAAGCAAAGCCGTTGTTGTTGTTTTGAATGTAGCGCCCTCTAGCGGCATCTAAATCTTAGGTATTGTAGCTTTAAGTTTGGGCATTCTTGGTTACAATCATTTGTTATTCATTTGTACTATTACATACATTTCATAACAACAGTGTAAAACTGAGGGTTTCCTGCATTTTCCTGGATTTATTAAGGTATATAAAAAAAATGATATATCAAGGAACATACTGTATGTCAGTGTCTTTACTGACACGTTCCTTCAGGTGTAAAGGCTGACTTGTAAGCTTAATTCCATAACATAGTGAGTCGCCTTGCTGTCTGCTACCTACATGGGTATGATGCTTTGAAGAATAGATAGTTGATGTAGCCATTGACTTCCATAGTTTTTTTTTTTTTTTTTTTCGTGGAAGTCCATGGCTTCCGTTAACTGTCTGGTTTTCGATATTTTTTTTAAATATCTTATTTTTAGTTCAACAGATGAAATGCTTGCCGGTTTGGAACAACATATGGGTGAGTAAATGATGACAGCATTTTAATTTTTCAGTGAACTAACCCTTTGAGTGACTGACTTTTCAGGAGAAGAAACTCATATGTGGCACACAGGGTATGTGACTCTATTTTTATTTTTATTTTACTCTAATGATTGCTACTGGTAATGGGTAGAGACGCTTTTTAAAATAGATTGAAAAGGCCCTTTTATACTTTAAGCAAAATCAAAGAAAAAACTGGCGTGGCTTCATTTTGATCAAAATCAAGCCAAAAAGGAATTCGCCTGGACTTTGTTTCAGGGGCTCAATACAGCGTGTTAAAGTGAACTCTCTAGAAAAGTTGGCTCCAAATGATAAGCATTTTCAACCTACCACTGGATCTGTGGTGGCAATGTAATCAGGTAGGTGTGTGCTGAGCTCCGCTGCCTTTGAGGTGGAAATAAAGTGAATTCACACCATGTTGTAGTTGACTTGTAAAGGGGAATCTTGTAAGCTTTCACATCCTCATAGAACTTGTAATTACAACTTGTAAATTGAATTTTATAAGAGCACACGTACCACATGACCACTGTACAACTGCAGATTCATATTGCCGTTAATAGTAAATGCCACAGGAATGTCTAATTCCGAGTCACAGCTCCCAGTAGAACATTGCGGGTTGTCATCTTATAGTTACGACAGAATGAATTTAAGAAATTAACCAGAGAATAATGCTCTGTTCACACCGTCCTAGTGATGGGAGAAACAAATGCCTGCTGCCTGGTTAGAATGGTGAAAATGAAACGAAAACTCACTAATGTGTTATTGAGTTATGGGTAACTCTGTTGTTTAGATGCCACACTGGGAGGATCACACTGTCTTTCTGCTAGTGTGGTTTAGGCAGTATTTTAAAAACATGAATAAAACAAAAAAAAAAACTGTTGGTGAAGATTTATTTTTATTTGGACATTTCTACCATATGATGGATGAAGCTGCAGCGAGCACCCAGCACGTGACACTTGTTTTCATAGCAACCTGGTACATTAAGCTTTGAATTCTGCAAAACTATGTTGAATCAATTTATCATGCAGAGCTATTAAATAGCCTCTCTTTCCTGCAAACGATACCATGAAGAATGTGAATGCTCACTTTCAAGGCAAAAACAAAACAAAATCAGATATTGGTATGAATTTAGTACCAGAGGGCAATCCTCCCAAAATGATGGTGCATCATCCCCAGCATGCAACGCATGATGTACAATAGCTACGCATTCTCTATTGAAATTTCCATACAGTTATGATCTAACAAAACCTCATTTACTGAAATCATGTGATTTTGGCCCTGTCCCAAAAGGCTTGTTCGACTCGAACCTGCACCGCACAGACCGATCGTTTATGACATCAAAGTACCGTGAGAGCGATTAGAGAGCAGATGGCTCCATATGCTTTTGAATCACTCTCGCGGTACTTTGATGTCATAGCGGTAGCCAGTAA